CTCTCTCGCTCTCTTCGTATCTCCCTCTCTACCTCTCTCCCTCTCTCCCTGTCTCCCTCTCCACATCTCCACCTCTCTCCCTCTCCTCCCCCCCTCCCCCTTTCCTTCTCTCCTTCTCTCATTCTCTCCCTGTCTTTTTTTTGAAGTTTTTTCTTGCTTTTGGTTTATTTGTTGTCGACGCTATGGATTGGTGACGACTAGTTTGGTGTAAAAGGTGTGGGGGTTTTGTTATAAAGACCGTGGAAAGCCCCTGAAAAGTTAGGGCCCTTACAAGTTGGGGCTCTGTTAACCGCTTCTGGCTGACCACCTGCCACATCATTTGTCCGACCCATCTGGCAGGTTTCGGCCCTGTTTCATCATGATTCGCCTGTTTTTTTTTTTTTTTTTTTTTTTTTTTTTGTGTGTGTGTGTGTGTGTCTCTCGTTCTTAAAGTCCCAGTTGTAGAGAGGTTGGATGCTAGACATATGGCAGCCACCTTCGGTAGTCGGCCATTCTGGTTGCCCAGGTGGTCTCTAGAAGTGTTCCTAGTCCTTATGAGACTCCCGCCCTCCCACTCTCGTTATCTTTCTCCCTGGCGCTCCCCTACCTAACTGTTTCATTGTGATTGGCATTTCAGCACCGCACGCATGAGCACCTTGTCTGTGATGTACGACATCTCTTTTCCTTTTCCTTAAAAGGGCGACCCCCTTGAGATATCATCATCGGACTGACCGGCCCTAACCGGCCCTTGGTAAATTCAGAAGTATAGTATGTTGCTCATCTGCCTTCTAACAGGGGTCTGTATTTCAACAGTTCAGGTCAGGGGGGGTGTAACAACTGAGCTAGGCCAGTTGGTAATGTACAACACCCTGCAAGGTTTGTGGGCACTTTAGCAGACTGGCCGGGTGAACGGGAGAGTTTAGAAGTTATGAGCGACTTTTTTCTCTTTTTTTTCCCCTTGGGTAGTTTCTTTCAATAGTGGCATTTCAGCACCCCATGAGAAGCCCGTAACGGTCATGTGAGGTGTAAAATGGCATGCATGGCAATGCCATGTTGTCCCCCAGCATATTGTAGACCGCTTTGCGGGACTCTTTTCCCATGAGGACTCATCTGCGCATATAGAAGGCAGTGATTGCAGAGCGGGCTGTACTTGTGCATATAGAAGGGAGTGCTTGCAGAGGGAGGAGGTGGAGAGGGAGTGGCGAGATAGACCTTTGGGCAGCAGCTATGAGTAGCGGATGGTAGAAACAACGTGACACGGTACTGAGGGGGGGGTCATGGGCTACTTGGAGCGAAGTGTGCGGCGATTGCCAGCATCCATGTGGCGTTGTGTGTGGTGTGCGTTGAGTGTGGGCGCTACAGCCTTGCAGGGGTGGGGTGTATATCAGGACCGGTATGGTTCCACTTTTGAACGCCGTGTCGTGGCTGTAGTGGTTACGATACTTGGCTCTTGAGGCCGAGGTTGCCGGTTCGAGTCCGTGCTTGTACGGAGGAGGGGGCTGATGCCCAGGGGTACTGATCCAATGACATGGTAGAAAAGAGAAGAGGCAGGAGGAGTGGTGGAGCAGCCATTGTGTTTTGGAGGAAAACAAGGTAGAAGGTGAAGAGGTTGAGTAGCTATATAACTACCGTCTTCCAACGAACATAAGGCACACTGCTAATGAATGTAGACAAGCTATGTTTCCAGTCCTGTACATCCATAATGAGGGTGCGTTGTTTTCAGGGGAAGAAGGTGGTAGCTTATGGTATGCAAGAAGGAAAGGAGGCAGCAGAAGGCAGAGGAGCAGAAGGCAGAGGAACAGGAACTAGACAACGGCACAGCGGCAGAGAAGAAGCAGGATGCAGTAGATTATGACCTAACCTGCCATGCCATGCCGGCAAAGTGCCGTGCCCAGGGGGAAAAGACAGTGGCTGAACTGCTGAAGAGGCAGGAGTAGAGACCGAAGGGACGACGGTGGACTATATAGTACCCAGAAGAAGCAGGAAGACATTCTGAATTGCGAAAAGGGGTTGAGGGTTTTGGGGCCCTCCATGCAGTTTGGACTTAGGATATGGAGGGCACCAAAGCCCCAGGACTCCTTTTCGCAGTTGTCGCCAGGGGTTATGGCTTACTTAGGATAGGACTGAAGGGTGTCCTCCATGCAGTTTGAAATTGGGATACTGTCGTCCCTTCGGTCCTAAGGTTGTCAGAACCCCTGACCGCCTCGGGTCCTAAGTGAGCCAGATGCAACAGTAGCTGTTGCAGCAAATGCAGGACATCAAGGACAGGTTCTCCCAGCCCATCTTAAAGCCTGATTCTGTTGAGTGTACCTTTCAGAGAGAATGAGAGGGTGGAGACCCGGAGATGACCCCGGCTGCTACCACAAGGCTGAGCTAATTGTGATAGCCAGTTAAGATTCCAATAACCAGTTTGTAACTGCCAGTTGGTATTCTGATATAGCCATCTGCAGCTCATTTTGATAGCCACTGGGAATTTCAAGAGCCAGCTGGAGCTCATTCTGATGGGCAGTTAGCATTGCAATGGCCAGTTACAATCTTTTTCTGAAAAAAAAAACACTGAGAGCCAACCAGAGTTTATATTGCCAATCTATCAACATTCCCCCGATTGGAGTCCATTCCGATATCCTGCCAGCAGTTCGATAGCCACTGAGCATTTAATTGGATGCTATACCCATGTGTGCACGCAAGTAGGGATCTTTCATCTATGTATGCTGCCCTCCTTGCTGACCCGACATGTGTGATGATGACTGTGTGAGTCGAGTCTGAGTTGACGAGTCAGGTCATATCTGTGAGTCTTACGCTGTGCTACATTGCATGATCTTGTGTCTATCTTGGATGCATTTTGTTGTTTCACGATTCGCATTGTTGTCCTGGGTCCTTCTCATCACATTGGTGCTCCTTCGGATTCGTGCATCGCTCATCTCTGCGATGAGCATCCATCGACCTCTCTCTCTCTCTACATATATATATATGTATATACAGTCACACAGAGCTTGCCTTGAGGATGTCTTACTATTTGGTTCAATTGGGTTGGTCTTGTGGGCCATGGCTATCTTGTTTCTTCATATGACACGTGCTCGCCCTTGTGTGAATATGGTGTATGTGTATCGTCCCATGAAATACATCCATGTCTATTTGGGGCTCATCCTGTCTTCAGAGAAGTAGTGTTTTACTGCCACCATTTTTACCCCTTCGCATCTTCCCCATTAGTTGCGTTCTTCCTTCTTGCCGCTGTGATAGCCATCAGGATTTTTCTTTTCAAAGAGGAACAGCCTGAGCGACTGCCAGGGGTGCTCTGATAAAAGCAGGCACCACTAGCATTGTCAAGAACAGCCTGAGCGACTGCTAGGGGTGCTGATAAAAGCAGGCACCACTAGCATTGTCGGGGAGTCTCCATCTATTGGTGGGGAGCAGCACCTGCTGGAAATCGGGTCCAGCATCCCTGTAAAGTACAATGTAAAGTACTATGTGTGAGTTGAAACCAGTGTGAACAGGAAGGGGCAGTGTGCATGCGAGGGCTGGGCAGTGATCGGCCCGGCCACTACCTGTCGTGAATTTGTCAAAGCCTAAGCCAAAGCCACAAGTAACCGGAACTGCTGATGCAATTATGCAATTATAGGCCTGTCTCTTATACACATCTAGATGTGTATAAGAGACAGCGGCTGGGCCTAGCGACATGGGACGGGTATCGTGAAATCCCATCGGTTCCATTGATTCGTCGGACTGGTCGCAAGCGCTCATCCTCTCTGAGAATTGCGGCTATGGCTATGGACAAGATAGGGTCGGAGTTCATGATGAAGAGCAACCCTGCGTTGATTAGCTCATTGCCACGTCATCCAGCTCCGACTCTTCCACCACGTGATTACGTGATTGACATCAGAGAGATGGGAGGCGTGGGCGACGGGTTGACCCTCAATACTGCAGTTTTTGAGCGAGCGATATCGGCTATACAGGCACATGGTGGGGGGCAGCTATTCGTACCTCCTGGCCGTTGGATCACCGGACCGTTCAATCTCACCTCACACCTCACGCTCTTCGTTTCCAGAGGAGCAATCATTCTCGGTAGCCAGGTAGCTTGCACTCACCCCCGCCTACTTCTTTCTTCTTCTTCTGCTTCTTCTTCTGCTTCTTCTTCTGCTTCTTCTGCTTCTTCTTCTGCTTCTGCTTCTTCTGCTTCTTACTTCGTTCAGTGCATACGGAGATGGTTGTAAATCTGTGAAGGCATGTGCAAATGATAATGACTCTGGCCTCTGNAGGGCCAGCAAAGGACCGAGGGGGCAGACTGGCGGTGGACATTGGCAGCAGGGGCCTGAGGGTTTAGGGTGTGGACATTTATAGCAGGGGCCAGAGGGTTTAGGGTTTTAAGAGAGGTATTTAGGGCTGTGAGAAAACGGGGACTTCAGGTATAAGGATAAAGTCAGTAGGTTGGAAAAGGAGGGAGAAGTGATCTTGCGGGAGAAATTCCCTCTGGGCCTCCGTGGACAACCATGGTCGCCATTGTAGGTTATCGGACAGGTCCAATCTACATAACCTGCAATTTGGGTCCACCCATTGAGCTCTGAAATTTTCCAGCAGTTGTCGGCTCTTGGGCTCTTCAGACTCATTTCTGAGTCTCGTTGTAAGTGCGTCCAGGCGGATTGTGTCTGGCATAATATTGTGTCAGCCATAACCGCCCTTGCTTGTATAAAGCTGAATGTGTGTTGTCTCCTCTCGTGGGAGCACCTCATCCGCCATGCTGTCATGAGCAGAGCCAGGCACGAGTACTGGAACAGGCTGTGTTTGTGTGTCGTTCGGCTGACCCGGCTGGGCTTCTGTCAAGGTAGCTGTTTTATCCCTCCAGTACTCCAGGGTTTTTTGGCTCAGCCCTGTCCCAGTCATCGGTGTTCTTTTTTGCTATAGAGGCGTGCACCCCCAGGTAAGTCCCTTTTCTGTTTACCACAGCGGGGGGTCGTATACTGCGAGCGTGAGTCTTGTTGGTCACCCTGATGCTAGCCACGTGTCCCTGGCTGAGGGAAGGCAGGGGGGGAGGCGTCCGCCTGTCCATCGTTTTCCTCCCCTTTGACAGTCTGTTTTTCATTTTGGGCTTCCTTTTCGTTGTGTCCCTCTTTCTCCCTCTGTTTTCCCAGTTCTTTCTCTTGTTCTGTCTCCCTTTCCCTCTCCCTCTCTTTCTCTCTTTGTTTCTCTCTCTCAATTTCTTTTTCTTTTTCTTTTTCTGCTTCTTTTGCTTTTTCCCTGTGTGCCACTTGTCTTTCCATTTCTTTTTTCCTTTTCTCTCTCTTTTCCTCATTTCCTTGCACTCTGTGTTTTTCTAGCACCCTCTGTCTCTCTTCCTGTCTCTCTCTTTCTCTTCTCCTGCCATTTTCTTTGTCCCTATGATCACTTTTGTCTTTGACTGCCCATTCCTTGCCTTTGCTGTTTTGTCCAGTCACATTCGTCCTTCCTGTCTTTTCTGTGCCCCCCCCCGCCCCTGGTTGGGCCGTTCTGAGGACTAGGCTGTATTAGATAAGCATTTGGTCGTGGCCGTGTGATGTTAGCTGGGGATCGTCCGGGTCGTCCTTCCCCTTCCCATGCCCAGGTCCCCGGTTGCTTGATTGAGTGGCACCTGAACACCCATCCTTCAAAGGCCGGGTCTTCAGGGACCCATCAGCCCAGTCCTTGCGGATGGGGCTTCACCAGCCCCTTCATCTGCCGGCCCCTCATGTTCGGGCATTGGAACTCTGTACACAGGTGTCCTCTGGTGTTACATACATAGCACCAGGGGCCCTGAGGGTGGTTGACTTGCTCTGCGTGTGTTCTCCCATCCTGGTGGAAGGACCATCCTCCACTTACCGGGAATCCTTAGAAGCGTCCCAGTCCATGGCCACGAGCAAGGTATCGTCTCGCTTGGGGAGGAACGGCGGTTGGTCTGTGATATACCCAAGTACCGGGGCGATCTGGTGCAAGTCGGCCAGAATCGCTCCTTGCACAGCAAGTGGGGCGAAGCGGAACGCCACCCAGAAGTGGTTTTTCATCAGCTGCTCCCTACGCTGGTTCGCGGTGAGGGGTGTTGCGGGTTGCCATGGGTGAACTTTTTTTCTTTCTTGTTTTTTTTTTTTTTTTTTCAAAACAGAACCTCTTGGTTCTGGCGCCTGCCATTCTGGGGAGCATGTTGCATACCGTATAGGTGCAGACCAGAACAAGAACCGACCTTTCAATACAAAGTATAAGATAGCACAGCGGAAGACTTAGATACCAATGATCCGAACAATCAATATTGCAATGCAGCCCCAAACATACATCATCATCATCATTCCATG